ATCCGAGTGAGTGTTAAATAGTGAGTGAGTGATATGAAACAGCTATGTGCAATCAGTGCTGTGTGCAATCAGTGCAATGAATGATGGGATATGTAGTCCGGGGTGATATGCAACAGTGTGTAGTGCGAGAGTCAATGAAAATGGAAAGGGTGACCTCTGATGGCTACCAGACGGAAGTTCATGGACCGGATACGTAACAATATGTGCATGTTCAGACAGTTTAAAAGACATCTCTGTGATAAAGGTGCAATTTAACACTTCAAACAGGCTGTGCCACCAACTTGCATTTTATTTGTTTATGATTACGTTTATTTCACACTCACTTTTACACTTATTTTATTACTTTTCACAGCATATCTTGCTACTTCAACAACTTAAAATCACGAGTAAATAATGAGAAGTAAACTGTCTGAAATGAAAAAAAAAAAACATTAATTATTATAAACAAATAATCATCATACTTTCTTGCATGATCATTTTGTTATGCGAGTGGTCAAAAAGTGAAAAGGTTAGTGAGATTGTTCTAAGGCCAGAGTTCGGAGAATGGAGCCGCTGTGGTTTGTCCAGCTTAAGTTGTCCATAGCTCAGGCTGTCGTGCTGAAGTTACTGTTCTCCTCTTTTTTTTACCTCTAATTGAATGTCACTTGCTTTCTGAAATGCTCCAAATGATATAATGAGGTCATTTGCATAGCGCTGAGATTGGCTGACTTTTGCTTTTGCCAATAAATACAGCAGAGTTGTCTAAGACAGTCGACAGAGATGGTGCAAAAAAAGACAACTTCCCGCTCAGAAAGGTTAGCGGAGAGTTCGGTGTTGGACTTTGCGAAATGTCATTAGAATTTTCTTGGAGTATGCTCAAAATTAGCAAGTGACAAAGATCAGTAATGCAGACATATTGTCTGGAAAAGCAACGAGAACTGTGCTTGGTTAAAAATACAAGTGCGATTATTTCCTAGTAATTGCATTGGAGAGGTTGTTTGCATACAAGCATGTTGCATTATGCATGAATTAATGTGTATGCAAGCAATGGAAAGCTCACAGATGCAGGATGGTACATGCACGTTGCATCATCAAGACCTTTTGATGGTGATGCCGGAACTTTCACATGGTTTTGAGCCTCTGTGCCCAGTGTGAGCACATGGCATATGAACTGGGATGCTCTAGCCAGGCTCTGCCAACACAGCAGTGCTATTCCACCGACGCCTACCAGCACTGTAGGCAGAGCCTGTGCTGGCCGGCCGTCATCGAAAGTACAGAACATATCACCTACATCACAGCAACTCATAATGTATACTACTGTTCAAAAGTTTGGAGTCAGTAAGACTAGATTTTTTACATTTTTATTCAGCAAGGATGCATTAAATTGATCGAAAGTTACAGTAAAGACATTTATAATGTTGCAACATATTTATGTTTTAAATATGTGATGTTCTTTTGAACTCTATATTAATCAAATTTTCAACATTGTTGATAAGAAATGTTTCTTGAGCAGCAAATCAGCATATTAGAATGATTTCTGAAAGATCTTGTGACACTAGACTGGAGTAATGATGCTGAAAAATCTGCATTGCATCACAGGAATAAATTAAATGTTAACATATATTCAAATAGAAAACACTTATTTTAAATTTAAATTGTAATTTTAAATTTAAATTGTAATTTTAAAATAAATTTGTTGTAAATTTAAAATAAAAAATAAATACAGATTTCAAGATGGCGCCGCAAATGGCTGCCTCGGTGTGGAGCTCTCCAGTTGTTTTAATGTTTTTGTTATTTTTTTTCTAGTTTTACCAGGGATGAACTGCTGAATATATACGTCAGAACACACCACACAATCTTCTACCGGTTTTTGATTACTCTGACATTTTGCTGAACATAGCAGCAGCGGTGTTCAAGCGTTTTAAGATGCGCAAGCGTGGGAAGTGAGCCGGCGCACTCGTCAAGCTCCGACAGCGCGGCTTTAGAATGGAGCAGCCTAGCATCAATCTGGCGAATCTTCGCTTTCAACCCAACAAAACGGACAAACTTATTCTGCTCTCCCAAATAAATAAGGACTTTTCAAACCTTGCGCTGCTTTGTGTTTCACGGAATTAAGGAATTAAGGAGTTAAACACTGTCATCCCAAACCTCCTCCTGTCCAAATTAACTCTGCTCTCTGTGCCTACCTCCATTTGTCAGTGGATCACCAGCTTTCTGACATAAATGCAGCAGCTAGTGAGGCTGGGCAAATTCTCATCCAGCACCCGCACAATCAGCACTGGTGCCCCCCAGGGATGTGCTCTCTCCCCACTGCTTTTCTCCCTCTACACCAACGACTGCACCTCAACTGACCCCTCTGTCAAGCTCCTGAAGTTTGCAGATGACATCACACTTATCTGCCTCATCCAGGACGGAGACGATTCCACTCCCCACTCACCGTCATTCATGAATCACTGGTATAACCCTCCCCACTCTCCAAAAACTGCACTCGTTTAGAGTGAGTAAAGGAGCTGGTAAAATCATTCTGGACCCCTCACACCCAGCACACTTCCTCTTTGAACTGTTGCTGTCTGGCCGGTGCTACAGAGCACCAGAACGGCTAGGCATAAGAACTGTTTCTTCCCTCAGGCAATCCATCTCATGAACAGTTAACTTATATATAAATGTGTATTACACAACACTATTTATACATTTATTTATTTAACACACATAACCTCTTTTTACATTTCTTTGCATTTGTACATAACACACCCGTACACACAAATACCATCTATTGTCTAATTTTTGTATACTTTTGTTTCCTATTTACTTATCCTATTTTTTATTATTTTATTATCTGTGTCTTGTTTCGTCACTGTCATTCTGTTTGTGCTGTGGAAGCTTCTGTCACCAAAACAAATTCCTCGTATGTGTAAACATACCTGGCAATAAAGCTCTTTCTGATTTGGAATCTATCTATCTATCTATCTATCTATCTATCTATCGTCTCACCTTACATGCTGGCATGTCATAACACTGTCATTTTGAGCGCTTATTAACACATCATATCATTAATGCGTTCTGCAATATCCACTGTGCACATGATGTCACATGTTCTTTAGTGGCGAGAGCTTTGTAACGTGAAACGTGACTTGTGTTTGCTGTGCCGAGGGACAATTTTGACCAAATCAAATTCAAAACATGCTTTTTGTTCAATAAATTAATTTCTATAAAAGTATAAAAGTCAACAAATCCCCCAGCTCTCAAATTTCTAATTCAGTATAATCCACAATATTGACTGAAAGTCGCCGGTTGATTGGATAACAAGGAGACAAGCGTTAACGTGTGGCTCTGTCACTCTGCTCTCTGGTTTTATAGTCGCAGCGGCGCGTCACGTTTCACCTGCCGGACGGGTCTCAGGAAAGCTGCAGTGACAGTGGGCTGGGGGACCATGAGCCTGTGGGCAGTGGGCCGCTCCTCTCACACCCTCTTCCTCTGGTGCAGGCGCAGGATGAGTTCTACGAGCAGGCCTCTCCGGACAAGAGGACCGAAGCGGACGGCAACTCGGACCCCAACTCTGGTGAGTCTGCTCGTGATTGCAGTGCAGCTCTAGTTACTCTCCTTCTTTCTTTGTCTCCACTCTTCTCTGAACCTAACAGAGGAGGAAGAGCTCAGCCAGAGAGCAAGATGAATATCACAGAAGATAACTTTCATTATGCGCCTTCCCACTCAATGTGTACAACAATTTAATGTTCTGCAATAACAGCAATGTAAATACAGTGCTCTCACGATACACAGAATGAACTTTGCACAAGTGAATGCAGTTGTAATAAATAAAAGATGGGTAGAGGCAAAATTGCATAATTATGCGTACTGGTGCAGAAATGCAGTAGATTAAGAGATTCAGAAGATGTGTGTAATGCTGAAAATAAGCCCTGTCAGCAATGTTTCTTTTACTGTGTTTTTGCTTTACACCTCATAATAACCAGCCACTGCGGGACATTTCCAGCAACAAGTCTTTTTTTT